AGTAGGCTTCGAGACTATGGATAGATCTTGGATTATAATTCTATTTAACTCAGCTTGCATGAGGTTATGAAGGACTGATAGTTGAATTTTCCCAAAATGGGCTAAGTAGGCCTTACGTTCCCAATGAATTTCACTTGGCCCTACTTACTAAAGTGTAGTCACATCCAGGCTGGATTGCGGTTTCGACCTCGTCTAGAATTAATCAGCACCTTCACCAATTATCCGGGTTTGATTCTTCCTGAGTGTGCTGATGAGACCCAGATGAGGTTGAAGCGACAGTCTAGCCTGGATGCAAATACTTTAGAGAAGCATTTGTTAGCGCAATTCCATGTAAACTTTAGGCCTACTAAAATCATTGTGAGAAAATTCTATTATCGGGCTTTCATAATCTAAGGAAAGCTTGGTTGACTAACACTCTTACTTAATAAGTTAAATTGCAAGAAGACATTATTATGAGGCCAACGACAATTATCAGACAATACCTAAGCAATGTAGAAAATTGGGTTACAAAGAAGCCCTTAATAGAGTCATGTTGGAGTACCATTCATTTCGTTTGAAGAGGCGAGTTAAATGGGTTCGTAGATTGGTTCCACCTAAGCCTGTAGGAAAGTACATCACCCAAGGACGTAAATGTACAACGTCCACGGTTAAAATTTGGAAATGATCATGAAGACAATGGACTCCGGACTAGGTGCGTTCCACTAAGTATTCCTACCAATATGAACATGTTGTGAAAACAAGGTCAAACAACTTCAATACCTAAGCACGTTAGCAAGTGAGTTGTTCTTTTTCAACCTAGAACCAGATTTCCTCAAAATATTTTGTCATAAATTTAAGCCCCCTAACTTGATATTTATAAGATTTTCCCAAAGTTTTACATGCCATTACTTCCGATATGTTTCTAATCAGCTAACAGGGCCCCAACACTTTTATATAACTGATTGACATAAATAAAAATGTCTAATTGCAAATGGACCACTTTTTGTTCAAATTGCATTGCAAAAACTTTCAAGTTGACAATGAGTTTTTCCAGTTATCCACCTCCTTGGCTAGGTGTCTCAAAATATAACTTAATTCGTACTCTATTATGCTAGTCGTAAGCCACTATAGTTAATATCTAACCCTGCATGTTTATACATTAATTTTTGTGCTAATATCAAAGCATAAGACTAATGCATAAATGAAGAGTGAACTAAACCCAAATGGTCTTATGCACGATTCATGGCATATTATCATGATTTTTACATAAAATAATTTTGCCTCATTATATTTGAGTGAAATATCAGGTACTCCATAATATATGAGAAATTAAAGCAGCATTTAGCATATGATAGCAAACGTTCAAGCTATGAATTCTTTATACAGTTAGATAATTTATTTTATTGTACTCTACTATACTTTATATACCATATATACCATTATATTTAAACTATACCGCAATATAGCATATATAATATATACTATATTTTAATATACGGATATTTGTTTCTGAGGCTTCTTATGTTTTGTCTCAACTTAGTGCTCAATGGTTCCAGAGAAATGCAACCATCGTTTAGAAATTAGAAGTTTTTTGTTCATTATTGAAAGTGAACTCTTTGAAATTATCGAAGATATAAAGACTAAGATGGTGTGGCCTCCTGTATCGTCGCAGTCTCCTTCCTATTTTTAGAAGTGGGTTTACCTCGCTATCACAACTTGGTCTTGTTGTCAGGGCGACTTAGCAGAACGTCTGAGAATGTACCAAGTCCACTGTCTGATGCTTGGAATTATGATAACCACTATGGCAGAGGACTTCGAACAAAGTGTGTTTTACTAAGTCGCCCCAACAACAAGACCAAGTTGCGACAACAAGTTCAACCCATTTCTTTGAAATTATCTTTTCGAATTTGCACCTATAACCACTTGTATATTTAAAAAAAGCACTCCTTTTTATGTTATAATTAGCCTCATTTAATAATCTGACTTCCTTTATGCTGATCTTTCTCAGAATTTCTGATTGCTCACATACTTTTTGTTCGTTATGTAAACAATTTTTAAAACATATTTATGTACGTTTTGCCAAATTAGAGACTTCATTGAAAGTCCTCCCAGCAGTCTAAGCATTGGCAGTCAGGAGTCCTTCGGCAAATTACCTACTGACCAGCAGCAGGTTAGCATGCCACCTGCCGGACAGCAAGACCATAGTCTTTCAGATCCTCACCATAGTCCGGATGAGGCAGATACCGTCACTGTTAATTGCAGCAGTGGCGACAGACCGGCCAAGAAACAATCCTCTCGCATTGGTTATAGCCTGGGCCGAATCTTTCGCAAAGCCACTCCGAGCACGTCAGCTTCCGCGTTAGGCATATCCACTGGCGGAATGTCCACTAACGCCAACAATTCTGCCTTTATCGCCCCTACATTTACATCACACACTCAGTCTTCAACTGGAATTCCCACCCTCAGTGCGGCAAATGTATATCAACCTCATCATCATCATCATCATCTCCTGCACCACCATCTGCCCTATCTGTATTCACAGCAACCCCAACAACCAGCACAAATGATCCACTATCACCCAGGCACCGGCATGCTCAATACGAAACGACAGTTACTCCAACCAGCAAATGATCCATCTACTGGTAGAGCCTATACGCATCCTGCCTACCTTCACCAACATCACATGCACCATATGCATCATCTTCATCACCACCATTTGCAGTCTCATCTGACGGGTGGACCCTTAGAACGGCTGATGGGCACGAATTCTTCCTTCCAGACAGAGTGTGGGGCTTTGGCAGCAAGCGGTTTTGAGGTCGAAGGAACTGCAAAAGCACGAAAGCCCGCTTGTTGGCCAGTAGAAGAGATTCAAGGTGTGGGAGAGAAAGAAGGTTCAGCAGTTGTAGAAGTTGAGGGTGTGGAGGAAGGGGATGGAGACAAAAGAGATGCTGCGCTCCTGAAAAAGTCTT